ATTTAAAAGTCAATTAATTGTATTCTGATGAAAGGACCTCAATTGAAAAGAAATTGAAAGTCAAAGGACCTAAAATGTCTAAATTAAAAGTCGGAGACTAATTTTAAAAAATCAATATAGTCGGAGAACCATTACTAGAATTAACTCATTTAAATATATTATCAGTACCAACTATTTGATTCAAATTACCATTTCCATACCCATGTTTGATCCAAGCGGCCACTTAATTATTATTTTTATTTATTGTTATTATGAACACCTGTATTACATAACTAATTTAACTTTTTCAGCTGAATAGAATAAGAATAAAAATCTGAAGACAAAAACACAAGGCTTATTAGTTCAGTTGGTTAGAGTGTTGTGCTAATAACGCGAAGGTCATAGGTTCGAGACCTGTATGGCCAAATTTTTTCATCACTACTCTCTGCACGCAATAGTCATTCCAAAGCGCACTGCAGGTCTGAACTAGCCATCCTGGTTTGGTCCACTGCCCACCAAACATATAACATCATTTAATCATAAATAAAAAGTATATTAAAAGTATATTATTTATGTACAGAAAATATATATTATTTGACTACGGAAAGTACATAATTTTACATAATATCAAATAATGTATATTCAGTGTAATTTATTTTTATGATGGTCAATACATAATTTGCCACAGCCCACTGGACCAACCCTGAATTATTGTGTGGACTGTGGCCGACTAGGTCAACCAGAATTATTGTGCAAATTATGTTGTAGAAACGAGTTCACCATGCGCATGATAAACACAGGGATAGATCTATAATTTCCATACTGTAGATTCATAATTTTTTTTTTTTTAAACGTAGATTCATAATTTTATTTTTTTTTCATTTGTGTAGCATTTTACATATGAACACTTGTATTACATAACTAATTTAACTATATATATATATATATATATATATATATATATATATATATATATATATATATATATATAGTTGCACTCGGGTGCGAAGGGCTCGCCCAGACGCGAAATAGGAATGGATTCTGTTCGTCCACGTGTCCAGATCTAATGGATAAGAAATACTGATTTTTTTAAAAAATGCGGTGGCATTTTCGTAAATAATTGAACATCGAAGTGCAAGTAAAATGTATTACAAGTGCATGTAAAATGTATTATAGGTGCAAGTAAAAATTTACACTGAGCATCAGTACTTAGTTGCACTTATAGTTCTAAGTAGTTGCACATATAGTTCTAAGTAGTTGCACACATAGGTATAAGTAGTTGCATCTAGGTGTATGAATGTTTGCGAGTGGTTTTCAGGAGTATTACTACCCACTGAACTCAGATCAATGAATGTTAACAAGACAAAATTACATGCACTTATAGGTGAAAGTAGGTGCACAAATAGTTATAAGTAGTTGCACCTATAGTTATAAATAGTTGCACATATAGTTATAAGCACACCCAGGTGCATGAATGGTTGCGGAAAGTGAATGCTAACAAGGAAAAATTATATGCACTTATAGGTGAAAATAGGTGCACTTATAAGAGATTTTACTTGCACTTCGATGTTCAATTATTTACGAAAATGCCACCGCGTTTTTTTTTAAGTTATTAGATCTGGACACGTGTCACGCGCTGATTCGTTCGCATTTCTTTCCTGGGCACTTATTCGCACCTGAGTGCGTCCCTATATATATATATATATATATATATATATATATATATATATATATATATATATATATATATATATATATATATATATATATATATATAGAATTGCATTCAGGTGCGAATGCTTCACCCAGGAGCGAAATAGGAATGAATTCTGTCCGTCTACGTGTCCAGATCTAATGGATGAGAAACACTGATTTTTTTAAAAAGCGTGGTGACATTTTCGTAAATAATTGAATATCGAAGTGCAAGTAAAATGATTTACAAGTGCATGTAAAATGTATTATAGGTGCAAGTAAAAATTTACACTGAGCATCGATACTAAGTGCACCTATAGTTATAAGTAGTTGCATCTATAGTTCTAAGTAGTTGCACACATAGTTATAAGTAGTTGCACATAGGTGCATGAATGTTTGCGGGTGGTTTTCAGGGGTATTACTACCCGCTGAACTCAGATCAATGGATGTTAACAAGGCCAAATTACATGCACTTATAGGTGAAAGTAGGTGCACCTATAGTTATAAGTAGTTGCACCTATAGTTATAAATAGTTGCACCTATAGTTATAAACACACCCAGGTGCATGAATGTTTGCGGGAAGTGAATGCTATCAAGGCAAAATTACATGCACTTATAGGTGAAAGTAGGTGCACTTGTAAGTGATTTTACTTGCACTTCGATGTTCAATTATTTACGAAAATATCACCGCGTTTTTTTTTAAGTTATTAGATCTGGTTTTTTTTGTGTCACGCGCTGATTCGTTCGCATATTCCTTCCTGGGCACTTATTCGAAGTTACTGGCTCTATTACATTGTAGTATCTGTTCATATACTTTCTCAACCTACTGAAACACAAAGAACCAATAACGCCTCCACTGAGGCTTGAACTTATAATCTTCCAAATGGAAGTCCAACCCGGATACCATTAGACCACATAGTCCTGGTCCCTATATATATATATATATATATATATATATATATATATATATATATATATATATATATATATATATATATATATATATATATATATATATATATAATCCTAATCATATAAGAACTTCTCCCTAGGTGATAATTTGGTGATAAATCCAAACCATTGATCAATCCTAAACATATAAGAACCACTTCTCAGGTGAGAACTTGTAAACAGATCCAAAACATTGATCAGCAAGATCTGATGGATGGGACATTAAGTAACAAATGAGGGACATTAAGTAACAAATGAGCGGGATCATTTTCATAAATATTACAAAGTTTTGTTTATTTTCAATTGTTTGATCTACTAGATCAATGGTTTGGATTTACCTACATGCTCTCACCTAGAGAATGGTTATTACCTGATTATGGACACACATATATATTATGAGTGTCATTACAAAATTTCAAATAAAACTTTTTAATGATATATTTTTATCCAATACTTTTATTTGTACAAAAAGAAAATGATAAAAATAAATTTATGTTGAAAAAATGTATACAAAAAAATAAGGATATGTTTGGGTAAATGTTGCTACATACACCATGATTAATGACATTACTATTTTGCCATGGTTAAAAACACTACCAGAAATTGAGCATGTATAGAAATTGAGCATGTACAAATTGATTGAAGGTTGATTATTCTAAACTCGTTTAGTTTTATATGAGATTTATTATTTGTAGGGCATAGTTGGAATTAGCTTATTCGTCACACCTCACTCCCTTAGTCCCTTACCTAGAAATCTAATATTGTATTATGTAAATCTAGGTTCACTATTTGTATGTGCAAGGTTCAGTATTATTTGTATGCTCAAGGTTGACTATTTGTATGCATAAAATTCACTATTTGTGTAAATGTGTTTTGATGTATGGTCCATACACATTGTGTTGTTATAATAAACCTATTGTGTGTATAAAATGAAATTAGATAGCAGAAACATGAAATGCAATTAAAATGATACTTTAACTTTACTATAAAGAAACTAGTGTGTTTCCACAGTAAAATCTACCCCATACAGTTGTGTAGACCATGATCCACAGTAAAATTTTCCGTGAAAAGAATGCCAATTGTTATACAATCGTTATACCCTGCACCACGGCGCACAGTGCAATGTGCGCCCCGCGCCTCCCAAAACGACGTCGTTTTGGGAGGCGCGGTAGGAAGTTGATATGATTATGTATATTTGTTATACAATTATGTATAATTTTTATTATGTACATTTTTTATACAATTATGTATATTTTTTTTTATACAATCATGTACATCCTAATCAGGAAATTTGTGTGTATTATGTTAAGAGTTGATGTGTATTATGTTAAAAATTTATGTTTATTATGTATTATGTTAGATTATGTGTATTATCTTTTAAAAAAGAGTATGTGTATTTTGTTATATAATTATGTACATTCATGTATACAATTATGTGTATTCTAGTATAACATTATGATTTTTTTTAAGGAAAATTAACTGCCAAACACTGGGTAGCGAAATTTCAAAAAAGAATTAAAAATTGAAATGACGTCGTTTTGCATCTGGGCGCACAATGCAACACGCGCCGTGGTGCAGGATATAAATTGCCATTGTTATACCATGACCATGGACCGGATCCACTTTGCATTGCATGGACCCTAGTCTAAAACAACATTCAAATTATATATACCTGTAGTATTACAATTACCATATTTTGTACTTGCATATTATGTACTTTCAACTAATAAACTATGTACCTAGTGTATCTATTATAATGTCATTTTGTATCAAGGTTCACAATGCAAGGTGCAACTTGGACTATGCTATAATTTGCAAAATACTATGTACCTAGTGTATCTATTATAATGTCATTTTGTATCAAGGTTCACAATGCAAGGTGCAACTTGGACTATGCTATAATTTGCAAAATAACGTATTACAGTAAAGTATGTAAGAAACTTATCCGATGATATATGATATACTGTAATAATTTGTTATTGTGTATAACATTCTTTCCAAAAGGTTGAACCTCAATCCTACGGTTCCCCAGGCTCGAGGGTTGAAGTTGATTTGGGTACGAAGAATTGCATTTCTGGGTGGATCTTAATAAGAAGAAAGAATCATCCCAAATGAGATGAAGGATGAGAAATTACCATTAAGACCTTATTTTTAACAGTCAACTAACAGAATTTTTAACAAATGACTAAATTATGTAAAAACTATCAATGTCGAGGACTAAATTGAGCACAAAAAGTTATTTAAGAGTAAATTGAGTAAAACTACTATAGTCGAAGACTATATTGGGTATTAACTCTTAGACGAGTTGTAAAATTTGTCATAAGGAATAGATAAACCAAAATTGAGGGCATGAAATACAGTCCTATCACGCAGGGATAGGAAAATTGTTTGTAGATTATTGATATTGGATGACCAGTAAATTAAATATAAACTCAGAAGATTTGAACCAAAAAATGCCCAAGAAGAGAGTTCATTCATTTACAATATCATCCTGGCTTATTCTCACTATCAACTAGGTAAGGAAAACCAGAAAAAATAAGATAATGAACAAGACAAGCAAGAATAAGATCATCATAAACTGACCCTTGGGACTGGCCTTTTTCATAACCATAGCAACCCTTTTCTGCAGGAAAAAATAAAAAACCAAATAAATATGGATTATTTGAATCCAATTAATTGCGAGTTTCAAATAATTAGAAGCTTCAAATTAAAAGAATCCCAATTCTGGATTTCAACCATGATAAATTGCACCATCAACCATGACAAAACGAAATGTGTTCAATGTTCAAAAAGTATAACATGAATAATTTAGAGAACGAAAAAAACCAACTATTTCCCAAACTATAGCGTGAGTGGTCTTTGGTAATTTGATAAATATATGAAAATAATGCCATTAGTTGTTTCTCCATTAGCAGTACAATTACTAGACCTCTCGCAGGTATTTTAAAATGGCAACATTCAATCCTTGAACAAGCCCACAAAGACTTTGTCAAATTGGCAAGGCTTGAGCCCAGCAGAATTTTACAGGCTGTTTGGTTGGATGTACTTTCCTTGTAATTGAATTGAAATTCAGTGAAGCTCTAAATTACATTGTTTGGTTGGAGAGAATTGCAATTCCACAGAATTAAAATTCCCTCTTTTTGTTGAATTGCAATTCATGGGGGTACCCCATGAATTGCAATTCAATGAATTTGAGAAAGGAAAACTAGATCAAATGACACTACTACCTTGGTTTTTATTACTATTATTATTGCATAAGGGTATTTTAGTCATTATACCACTTCTTTCCTTCTCAATTCCAATAATTCTATTTCTCCCTACCAAACAACGTGATTTGAATTCCTATTTTATTCCACCTTATTCTTTTCCCATTGAATTACAATTTCTTTCCCTCATGATTCTTTCCTTCCAACCAAACACCCCGTTAGTTTTTCGAGTTAGAGTATTTAGTCCCCATTTATTCTGGGTGTGGTAAGTGGTAATAGGCTATTATTAATTGTAACAACGTTTTAGTAATTTTTAATTGTTGTGTATAAAATTGTCAATTGGTTATAACTCATTGTAGAGAGAAAAAAAATAAATACATACCTGAACAAAATCAAGACGAGTAGATGTACTGTCCATCTCTGAGCCCAAGTCATTAATAATCTTATCCTGCCACATTAACTTCAACGTTAGCTAAATATCCCATTATATCAAATCTTAGAAGCAGTGTTGCAAAAATCGCGCCTAGGCGCCAATTAGGCGGTCGGCCTCCTAGGCGCTCTAGGCGCCCGCATAGGCGCTCTAGGCGCCCTAGGCGGTCCTCAGGCACCTAGAGGGCGGCTAGCGATTTTTTCAATATTGCTTAGAAGCAATGAATAAAGTACCAAACTGCCCTATACAAAAAGATGTGGCAAACACAAATTATGTAGGGTGCATGGTTCAGAGATCAGTTACCTGTGCACGAAGTTCATCATGTATAGTAAGCCCAACACCTCCAATTCTTCTCACACTAGCACTAAGCTCATCCAGCTCATCATCTTGCTGCCTGCACAAAGCAGATCCTTACATTATAAGAAGCAGAAGAGAAACTAAAATGTTAAGTACAACTATGGGGTCCACTTTGACTGCGTTAATAACAAGGTTGAAAAAATCGCTAGGCGCCTGGGGAACACCTAGGGCGCCTAGGCGGGCGCCTAGAGCAATTAATCGGCCCCTAGGCGAGCACTTAGGTGGCCGACCGCCTAGCGCCTAGGCCCGATTTTTGCAACACTGGTTAATAAAGATATAGCCAGAATACCCGAGTTGACAAAAAATCCAGGGCCATAATATACGAACTAATCTGACAAAATTATGATGAAAAAGGGAAAGCATGCGGCAAGAAAGATTACGAGAGAGTGGGAAAATAGAACATTACTTTATGAGGAGTAACTGTGTATCAGATTCAGCTGCTACATAATCATCATTATTTGCAGTACTGTACTTGTTTGGTTTATCTACTATCTGATGAGGATCTGGCAGATTCATCAGTTCTCTTCGCATCTCAATAACGCTCAATCCACTTGACTCCTGTCCAACTATTACTGCTTTCTTAACATTCCCAACCTAATGAATGAAAGGAGAAAGTGATCGTGAACAAAAGATACACAAGCAGCTTTACAGACCTACAAATTGTCATTGTTAAAACAGCAAATAACTGTTCTAAATTGGAAAATAATTTAAATTAATATTTGCTATCATTTCATGGATATACATCTATACCTGAGTACGAGCATCGCTTGTCCACCTTCTCCGCTTTCCAAGCTCAACTTCATTTATACCATACCAAGCAGGATCTTTTGAGGCAATAGAAATTGTCTTGTCCAATTCATCCACCTTCCTATTGCAAAAACATTTTTCAATATTGACAGCATGGTTAAAAAATTTGCTAGGCGCGCATCAGGCGCTAGGCGGGGATTAATCGGCGCCTACGAGCCTATGTATTTTTTATTTTAATTTTAATTTTTTTAAATTTTTTTTAAATTTTTTTAATTTTTTAAGACTTGATAATTATAAACTATTAAGTACTTCAATAGTTAATACTAAAATATTAAATATTAACATAAAAAACATTAGAGTTTGAACAATTTAGGGTTATTTCGCTCAAAACAATGTCGTTTTGAGTGATAACTCGTTTAAAAAAGAATGGGACAATAGTTAATTGGCCAACTAGGTGGCCTAGTCGGTCAGTGCCTACGCGGCCTAGTCGGCCACCTAGCCGGCCAGCCACCTAGACCACCGATTATGGTGATACGCTAGGCGGCCGTCCAGCGCCTAGCGCCTAGGCGCTGATTAATCGGTGCCCAGGCGGGATTTTTGCAACATTGATTGACAGACTAGAACTTAACATCTAAAGGTGCAAAAATTAGTGCAAGTCCAGTTAACAAACGTCATATCATATATGGAGCTTAAGTTTTTTAAGATGCCTCTATCCAAGTAATTAAGTGACATATAGTAATGGCCTATTGAAGACTAACTAAACTACATTTGATAACCCTGTGAGACCCATACCTGCCATGAAATGCTCTCACATGCAGCAAGAAGCTCCTTCACAAGTTGTTGATGCTCTCCACTATTAGGAATGCGCTCCCATTGACGAAATGTAGACAACAGCCTGTCAATCTAGAAAAAGAAGCACTCTGAATCTCTAGTACTCAGACCTGTACTAAATAATGAATGTATTCATTTCTTTTGGTACTTCTAGAAGAGAGAACACAACTAGCATATTTGGCTAGCGAATTTTAAATTTATGCCAAGCAATACCTTCAAATCCCAAATTTGTTATTACAAGGATGCATGCTCATGGCGTGCACAACCCAACAACTAGAAAATATGATAACAAAAGTATTACAGATCTTCAAGGCACAAGAATTGAAGTTTGAAACTCATGTAATTGACTTCTTTTGGTTAACCAGTTGAATGAGAAAAATTAACCATGTGCTCTTTTCATTGATATATGGAGCTCAGCAGTTAAATATTTGACTTCACTTCCACCAAAATATGACATTGTGAAGATAGCAACTATCATCAGTCATATTTTCCTTCAACATATTCATCTTTTTCCAACATCTATTAAACATTTAAACTAATCTCAATGTAATCCTTTTTCTTTCAACTCAGTCATACAAGTAAAAGCTATCCCAATGTGAGAGCAGTAAAGAAAGAAGAACCAATTTCGGTAATCACACAGCTTACCTCCTGTCAAAAAGCAAATGGCCTAAGCAAAGCTGACTTATATAGTACAACGAAATTCTGGCAGAATAAAAATGCCATGAGGCTAATATAAGGCTCTGCAAAAGGATGCTCAGGTTCTCAAATGAAATTGCAATCCCTTTCAATTGGATCAACTTTATTGGTATTTCACAATGGAACTATGTATAGAGAAAATAGTGTAAATGAAAAATTAAGCAGCTTTTATTGCTGTGGGATTTATTTTATTTTTCTTAAGAGAAAATAAATAAATTATTGATCTCAAAAGAACAATCAAATTTGCCAATTCCATTAATACCAAGATGATCAGAAACATAAGAAAAAACTTACAGATTCTTGAATTTCCTCCTTCACAATATAAAATGGGTCTTGAGCTGCAGACATCTTGTGGCCCAATTATAAAATATTTACCTGAACGAATCACCTAAGTTGAGATTTATAAAACCGGAAACACCATATATCGATTGCATAAATGCTTGCATATGTGAAATACACAGAAAGCAACATGAAGAATAAAAATTGAAGATCCAAAAGATCATAGCATGTGATGAACAAATTCAGCACTATCAAGTAATCTGCAGTGCAATGTGGTATATTGAAATTTGTGGTAACCAAAATGTCTGGATTTTAAGCTTCTATGGCAGCTATAATCAAATGTGGGAGTTTCAATTATGGGATAAGATCACACCATTCGCCTGCATAAAAAAAGATACATCCCATCTATTCCTTTCTCCTGTCATAACCCCTAAGACTCCATCACTAATCTCTGTTCTTCTTGAGTTATATCAATGCACCACAAAATTGAATTGAAACCCATCAACAACACCACTCTAAGATATTCAATTGGCCATTTTCACGAAATTATGAAAGGAGATCAAAGCAAAATTCATGAAAACATCAAGATCAACGTAAATAAAGAAAACACATCCGGTTAAAATTGAAATGCGAACCTCAAATTAACAATTAAAAACAAGCTGATCATTAAGCCAAGGAATCGAATCAAATCATGATAAAAAACAGCTGAATTGGGATCAGGAATGACAACAGAATTAGAACATTTTAATTGCTGGCTCCCCTCTTCTACCTGAAGGAGCATAGATCCACAGTATGAGCTCCTAATATGAGTGCTTATCGTACGATGTGAGGGTTAAAATTCGAGTACTCGCCAAAATCTAAAAACATTTTTGTCATTAAATATAAATTTGAAAAGATTTAGGGACATGTGATCATTTTATTTAAGTATTGGCCATATGGCTATATGTTGCGAAGGAATAATTGCCATTTTTCTAAAATGATATAGTAGGGGTATATTTCTAATAGTTTCGATTGAAAAAAAAAAAAAAAAGTGATGAGGAAACTGTACGTTGAGGAATATTATTTTTATTATTATTTTATCTTTTTGTAGGTAATTAGTATTTTCACCCGTGCGATGCACGGAATGGATTTGTTATAATATATTAAGAATATTTCGATTGATATATAATTATTTAAATTATAACATCAAATACAAAGTATTATATAGTGCAATTGAAAATATGGTTTGGATCGTTTATGTTCGTTAATGTTATCATTGCTTGAATTTAAGCAAGTAATTGTTCAAATTAATAGTTAATGTGTAGATGTACGCATATAGTACTGTAACTTTAGAGATTTTTATATATCATTGTTTATGACTTTTATAAATTAGGCAAATGTGCTCGTTCTCTAGCAAATTAGTTATAGTAATCAATTATTGCTATCCTAATTCATTTGTATAAAGGATATATTTTTGTCTAGATATATAACAATTTTGTCATTTTGAAAAAATAATAATAATATCATCGATTGTATTTACACATTATTGAAAATCTATTTATAGACGACATTGGTAGTTGCAACACAATCTTGTCCATCCCTGTCTAAAGCTATCGCCTTCAGGCCATCAGGATGGGTGACTCAGGAGAAAGCCACGTACAATTGTATGTGATTAAAGACCAATTTTTTTTTTTTTTTTTTTATCAATAATCCAACGTGAATTAGTGTTTGACCTTGGCTTTTGTTGATAGTCATGGCATATCCAAGCATCAACGAGAATTGTTTACGCTGGAACTTGAAGGGCAATCTTGTATAAAAAGGAGTGAGAGACATTCGGGAGATAAGAACTTTGGTTCTTTCATGTGTCCCATTAACTATTCTTGCTTCGACAATGTGATCTACCAATATTGTGATGATGAGTTGCGTCTCATACAAAGACCTAAAAAAATATTGTGGTCTATGCTCCGCAATAACATAACAGGTGCACCGACTTTTAATGTCAATGAATGATTATGAAGACCCGACAATCTCAAACTATTTAAGAATTTAGGAATGTGTACTTCTGATAGATTTTCACTGTCTGATTATGTCTTACACAAAGAGTCACAACTTAAATATATTTGTCCTTCTACAGTATTCATGTCGCACATGTACTGATTAATTTGATCAACGACATCTAAAGTCGGCGATTTGATCGGTCGGCCTTCTAGCTGCGACTCATCAAGTATGCCATATCTCGAGCTTGGGAATGTGATTTCCATTATAGTTGCTATGGGATTGTGTCCACACTTCAACGAAAATTGTACCAGAATATCGATCTCAATAGAATCATTGTTTACAACCCTTGCAATCTCATCTTCGATGTCTGAAATCCATTTTGAAAATCAATCAACTGTCTGTCTATCTTCCTCTGAAGCTAAGGTCCGTAATCTCAAGTTCTTGGTGAGCCTTAATACCTTGCAATTTGTCCACAATTATGAAGAATTAATATTTGCTCCGACAACTATTGGTCTTGTTGCTTTCGGAATAACAGGTAAGATCTGTTTAAAATCGTCGCCCAAAACTATTGTCTTTCCACCAAAAGTCTTTTTAGCACCATCCGCTATGGCGAACCTCAATAGATCCGTCATAGTTTTGTCCAAAGCCTCAAAATAGTGTTTGTGCGTCATCTGTGTTTCATCCCTTATTATCAATTTGCTCTTTATTATAAGCCTAGCAAGGTCACTGCCTTGCGATATATTGCACGTGGGATGGAATCTTCGTTCAAGGAGAGTGGTATAGCAAATCTGGAATGCGTCGTCCTGCCTCATGGCAAGAGCAAAGATGTTATTCCACTAGAAGCAACATTTAGAACAATATCACTATGGCTCCTTATCTTTGACAATAACATTCTCTACCTGAACGTCTTTCTTGTTCTTCCGTAACCATACAAAAAGAACAATCCACCTCTATTGGAATCAATATCATTCATCACAGAGTCGTAAACATTCTTTTGCTCGTCGGTCAATTGTGTTACCAATATTTCATGATTTATCTTCAACAATTCCTTGTCATACGCCAACTCTTCAGCTATCAACATGTTTTCATTTAAACCTATGCTAGTTTCGTTTGGAATTGGAATTTCTGAAAAGTCATTCAGGATTGACATTTGCTTGGTTTACCTTGGTGTTTGTTGTGTGAAACCAGTGTCAAAAGATTAGGATGAATACCGAGTTTTATCGTTCTTTACGGATGACAAATTGGAAATGCAAAATGAAAATCAAATTGAGGAAGAGGTTTGTGTGTGTCGAGCAAGTGTCACGCTCCATGAATTAAAATGTGGTAAGATGATGAAACAAAAGCTAAGCATACACAACTAATGCAAACAATTGAATTGAAATAGGATTAAATTGCTTGTCTTTCTCATAATGCAAGTAGGATCATTAGTATTAGGTAGAATGTTGTAATGACTAGTACCTAGGGAGGTTTTCTTACGTCCTTTCGCCTCTCAACTACTATGACTTGTTCTCTAGACAATAGAACACCTCTTTTAGGGTTTAAAAGCCTAGAAAACCTTTCCTCGAACACCTTGCATACGCTATCTTCCTAGCCTAGGCCTCTTGGCTCATTAAGCTAGTAAATGCCAAAGATTGGAGCTTCAAGTGATCTAGCAATCTCTTGCCTAGATCACTTGCTTAGCACAACTCTAGGAGTTGGCCGGACTCCATAGAGTGCATACAATTCACTCCAAGACAACAAGATTCATATGCATTGCAATCATCCTAACCTAATTGAGAATTAAGTCTCACATAAGCATCATGATCAAGACTTCACAATTCAAATCCTAGAAAGAAATCTAGCCACTCATAGCTAGCTACCACATTCAACTTTGCATTCATGAATTAAGCAATCAATTGAAATATAAAAGCAATAAAGAGTACCAAATTGAAGTGCAAATGTTGAAAGCTTCTACAACGATCCTTGATTGGAAGTGTGTTGATGGGCATATTTTGCACTCATATTTTAGGAACATTTTTATAATATTTTTGCATTAGTTATTTACTATTATTTAATAAATGCATGCAAAGAATTAAACCTCAAGAGTGACTCATTCCTTGTTTTTCTTTTGTACAGGCGTGTGGCTGTAGACATCTTCAAATGCGCAACAAGAGGAAATGGCGTGTGGCTGTAGACATCTTCAAATGCGTGAAAGTAGGAAATTGAGTGGTAGGAAATAGTTTAGGTTTATTTTGGAAAGTGTATAAATAGTGGAAGATTTCTATTCTAAAATGTTCATTCTTCCCTCCTCTATAGTATTCGTTAAAGTTGTTATCAATGTCCATTTGTGGCTAATTTCTAGTTGGTTTAGTGAATTGAAGCCCCGGAGTTCATAACGCTGTAAGGTTATTTATTTAACTTTATTATATATATGTTTTTATGCATTTTGAGTATTAAATATTCTTCTAAATTATTTGAATAGTTGTATCATTTAATTGCTAGGGAGACCTACTAGTTATTTATTTGATATAATTATTTGCTATATTAGATAATGTTGTGCTACAAATTATTCTAATATTCAGTAGCAACTGAGGTTAATTATTGACGGCTTAGTGATAATTGGTCTCGGGTAGAATATTTTCCTAAATTAAATGCAACCGCTTGTGCTTGTGTTATTTAGTTTGTCGGTTTTCCTAGTTCCTATTGCTGCTATTAAATTAAATCTATAGCGCTTGTCTTAGATTATTTAGTAGTTAGGGGTAATTAAACCGCTTGTGCTTTATTTACCTACAACTAAGGGAAAACAGAAACGAAATAATTTCATGACAAATATTCAATTGCATATTAATTACTTTATTAATCAATGATCAGTGTTGAATTCCGGTGGTGGATCTTTACTAACCAAGGTCTCCTATTATAAGTGTTTTCGATATATTATTTTCATTGCTCTATTCGTTCAATTAAATTTCTTGTTTATTTAAATTCTCTTTTATTTTATCTTTACTCTCGATATATTCCAAATCCCCCCATTGTTTCCTTAAGCACAAAGGTTAAACTAGTTACTCCTCGTGGGATCGATCCTTACTCCCGCTACTACGTTTGTAAGGTTTTAATTTGGGAGCCTACGACAGCTCACCAAATTTTGGCGCCGTTGCCGGGGAGATTTTCTAGCTTATTTTGTGTTTGTTTATTTATTTAATTATTTATTTTGTTATTTTTTTATTTGTTTTTCAATTTGTCCCAAACGAAAATAAAAATAATAATTTTCTTTTCTTTCATTACTTTTACATAATTGCAAATCAAAATATATTTCCTTTTTGTTTATGCCTATAACTCGATCTGCTAATCAAGAACTCTTGCCGTACTATCCGGAAATTGAAAGAACTATACGCAGGTGGAAGAAACAAGCTTTGAGAAAATTGGAGTTTAGTGATCTGGCTACCGATTCTACCGATTCTACCAATTCTGATTTAGAAGAGGAACCCATGGCTCAAAATCGGACTTTAAAAGAGCTTGGAGCTCCAAATTTGGATCAGCAACCTTTATGCATTACTTTTCCCGCTCTGGATGCTAATATACAATTTGAACTAAAATCTGGGTTAATTCATCTTTTGCCTTCTTTTCATGGACTTGCAGGTGAAGATCCGCACAAACACTTAAAGGAATTTCATGT